AATCAATTTTCCATGGTCCGTACTCTATACTCTATTATCGACTACCTATATCCCCTACATTCCGCTGTAAACCACGTGATCCTCCCGAAATCCTCTAAAACCCCCTCCCTACCGTCCCCAGGCGATTAATTATGACCGGTCGCTTTGGACAATTTTTTGTCCAATTTTTTGTTGTCTAATTGATGCAAACTGTCCTATTACAGGCGATCAAGTGCTGAACTGTTCCATGCATCATCAAAAAATTACCTCAGTTTCTTACTCAGCTTATAACAAAGCTGTTTTCATATTCAGTACAAAGCTAAGAAATAGACTTAACTTGTACAGCACTATACTAGGTTGTTAGAACAGCAATGCTATGACATAGTTTAGTATATAAGAGAGTGTTTCCAGCAAGCTTTAAGAATTATTTGAATAAAGTTTCTCAAAATAAAATTACGCATTGATTTATGACGTCATATTGACGCATTGGCGCCCCCATCGTCGTTACTGATTGGCTGCAACCAACCAGGGTCCTCCTTTCACCGAAATACGAAAACTCCAAGTTGTTGGTCAGTGGAGTGTAGTCACACCTTAACGATTCGACTTGAAAATGAACAGCAACCTGCAAGCCGTAGAGGCTATTGAGGTAGAGTTCATCTATGAAGTTCCATTGGAAAATATACAGAAGTTGTTACTACAGAGCAAGTCTTCGTTCAGCTGATAACACTAAAAATGTTCTCAAAACTTTGGTTTAACGAGTTCAGTCATGCAGATGGATCAGTTTACGGCGATGAGATCCGGTTTCTTGTTCAATCCCTGGGTTAGTTAAACTTATAATACTGAAAATTTTTCCATAGCTTTACTCCAATGAGTTTTCCTGCGCAGGTACAAATGTAGATCTGTTTACGAGGATGAAATCTAATCTACTCTTCAACCTTTGTAAATTAAAGGAGAGTCGTTTTAGTCTGTAAGTAAATTCAGTGGTTTAGTGGGAGTTGACTTCATAACCAGATCATAATTAAGCGGAAATGATTCTGAGTTCTGACTCATTTCAATAGTTTCTGCTCTCGACCTCTTGGTAAGCTTGCTCAAAACCGAGAGTTCACCATCTCTTGCTCTTCTCTTTCTCCTAAAACTAAACCTTGGAATTCAGTTAATAAATCTATTGTCATATGACCACTAAGGACCTTTCCGCACTAGCGAACAAGACTAAAATTGTCCCGACCAAATCAAAGAACAAATTTCGTCATGAAGAATTTTCGTTTCGTCTGTTGCATCTGCACAAAAATTTCAAAGCCGCCAAAATCCGTCAGCGCCTGATCTGTTCATAAGACCGGCCAGAATAGTTGCCAAAGGGTTCCACCTGCAATTTTCAGGATTATCCTAAGTCGTTTTAAAATTTTAGAATCCCCGAGTTTTTCAACAAAGATAATTTTTGCTTCTCTAGTAAACTGATTTCAGTTCAATTACATGCTTGTCGCAGATTACACGACAAATATTTAAACGTCCCAAGGTGGGGTAACCCGCCTAGCCGGGGTCGCTTTCATAGCAAAAAGCTCAAAAGCGAAACACATATGTTTTAAAACTTTGTACATTTCCCAGCCGTCTTATAGCAGAAATCACCAGAAACCGCAACGGACACACAAGGTGTGTAAAATGTTCACATTTCGGAATATTTAACGCAGTAAATTGACCATATTTCAAACTATTCCTCATAACATATCACGTCAACGGTTCCTCGCGTAACCTAACACCTCGTAACACAACGCGTGACGCTTTCATGAATAAATACATACGTTTCCGAGAATTAAGCTTTCGTCTTTCTCGAGACGTGAGCTTGGGGCAAGCGCAACAACAACCTCAAGAAACCTCAACCCAGCACCCCAGGTTTGTAAGATTGTATGTAAACGCGTTTTATTTTGCGACCACGGCGAGTTACCTCACCCACCTCCATGTAAACAGGCCCTTTGTCGACTTTGCCAAATTTTAACCCGGGAAAAATTTCGTCGGCATTGCGTTTGAAGATTTGTTCGCTTTGGCCAAAATTTTTCAGGTCGCGACATACCATCCGCACTTGTAAAATTGACAGAAAATGTGTCTAAAATAAACAACTTTGGACAAATTAATCGGTGTGTGACTGTGAGGTTGCACTTTAAGCAATTAAGAGAATCATTTACACTAGTTGCTCTAATGTCAGTCATCACCGACATGTCATTTCTCAGAAATGACAATTTTGAGCTCAAGACCGTAGATTTAAAGCTCGTGACGCCACAGTGACGCCACCATTGTCGCCACTGATTGGTTAGAACTAAACAGGGTTCTTCTTTCCCAGAAGGGAAGTTTAAGTTGTTTATCAGTGGAGTGTAGTCACACCT